TCGTCAACTATACATATCTGGCTACGCATCACCTTTTCATGGCGGGAATTTCTTATCTTTATGCAATTTGGCATTCGCACGTCGTCCGAAGCCGGCTTGTAAGTGTTCGGTTTATAAAATCTGACCGTTTTAGCTAACTTAGCTATAGACGATGGATGAAGTTGATTTCACGATATTAGCAGCCACTTCGGTTTTCACGGATCTTATCGAAAAATGTCCGCCAGCGGAAGCTTGCCGGGATGCTTTCGACCGAACTGCAAAAGCAACTATTAAAATGGCAAATTCTACCGGCGGGTTTGGACAGGTACTACATCGGAGCAAGCGCTCTTCGAGAAATGGTAATGACTACATCAACGCCAGAGACGCGACGGCTAACCGACACAAAGCTCACCACCGCGCCTCGTTAGACCACACAGGGTCCCGCACCACTTCATCCTATAATACTCCTGGACAGGAAAGTTACAGCTCACATGACACGTCACAGATAAGTTCTATACAGGCGGCATCACAAGCCAGCGGGTTCCGCCTCTCCATGCCCAAGGTCAAGACAGAACAAGACGGATACTCGATGATGCGCACCATGCCACAATCAACCCTTAGTACGGCTAGTTTGTCTGATGTGGCCTCACTTCCTGATAATTCAGCCATCGATCCCGTTCTTCTACCTTCCCCCGGCGCGCACACTAGCTCTCCGGTATCCATTAATAGCTTGACGCCGCAATCTAATCCAGGACAGCCGTACAATCAGAACACAGGAAATTCGAATTTCAACTTTAGATCGCCAGCCACCACCTTCACCCCTAGCGCCGCGATAAATTATTCAGACCTGCAAGGCATGGACTTCTTACAGGGTATTCAGGAACAGCCGAATGCAGATGGTGTAGTCAATGCGGATCTACAGATGGACATGGGTTTTGGACTTGGCTGGGAGGGGATGCATCACGACTTCAGCGACGGACAACAGGTCGATTTATTTGACGGGTTCTTCTTCGGAGGGCAGCAAGGGGGAGGATAAACAACTACAAAAAATTCAACCTTTTGGAACTGTCCCAGTTTCGGTTTAGTTTACTCTACGACGGCGTTGGAGTATACGGTGTCATATTATAGGACGATTTATTTCAATAAGCCACCCCAGATCTGAGCTTAAATGAGGCATGAGGAATGGAAATATCTAATTATTATTTATCCTCCGGATAAGATCCCGAGTTGCGGGATTTACGAAGCATCTGTTCCACGTTTAACTTTTACATGTCGGGTTTCGTTTTGTACTTTTTGCATCATACGTTTCTAATACCCCATTATTTAACGAATCACGCTTATCATGTACGTATGTACGTACGGAGAAGACCAAAAAGACAGGAGTAGAAAGGGAGGGCTCTTAATCCCTGGGAGATGGGGGTAGATGGTCTTGGAGCCGAAGATGAGAGATGAATTTTTTTTTTTCGTTGGATTTAGGTATGGTGGAATAATGCCTTCGGCATATTGAATACACGCTCCTTGCTCGCCTGACTTTGACGGGGGATATACCTGCTTGAAGTGCTAAATATGTACCTACCTACCTACCTAGGTAGATAGGTATCTAGCCATTCTAATAGATATCATCGTCTCGGGCTTGATATAAACACGGGCTATTTCCATCCTAATCCACACTTTGACATTGTTGGTGTATATGTAACTATACTAGACGCGTATAAGAAGAGCATCTTGTCTCATATTGTTTCTAGATGAATAAGGGGAATGGCCACACACCTGATATCTAAACGAAACTCTCTAAACATCTAATAACTATCTTAGATTGAATACAATACCCTATAACGAAGCATACGAGGCCAGTCTTTCCATGATCACTCGATCTCTACGTCCCTTCCAGTCCCTACTCGTGAGCCCGCATGTCTCAAATAGAGGGGACTATGCAATCCTTACGCACTGACATCGTCAACGTGTTCAGCCCTTGTACTAAACATATCCCATATATCTAGACAGTACATATAACTATTGGCATTGATAGAAGAAGAAAATCATGTAATAGGTAAGAAATTTCATTTTTAAAGGCTACTTCACGATAGACCTGTTTCCACAGTTTGTCCAAGCATATGGAATATAGCACGTTAGCAGAACACACTTATCGGAGTCTTTCTCCTGATTATATTGCTTTATTCGCTGTTCGACACTATTGGGCTAAGTACCGAGTACGTCCAACATAGAAAAATACCAATTCCATTCGAATATCCTCGCACATGGTGTTAGGCGCGTACCGTAATCGACGCGGTACACAAAAAAGAAAGTATAAAGGTCCTAGGTCCCTGTACGACGGCCAATATATACCGTAACCCCGCTAGAAGTCGTCTTACTTCCATCTCCAGTGCCTTAACTGGAAGAATCTATTCGTGCATAAGTCAAAGACTAACAGCCTTGTCGTCGGCATCCACTGCAGTAACTCCAATAGTATCGTAAACACACACCTCGCTTTCTCTTCCGCTAATCTAATCTTTTACGCCGTCATAGTACCTAGGTACCTACGCATCCGAGCCTCCCTCCCGGATCCTCCAGAGGTTCGGGTCTAAGATTTCGGGAGTACAAGGCTCAGATTTGGGCGCGTTATTACCTGTTGATCTTAATTTCCTGGGCATTTTCCCCCTGGAGCATCGCGGCGAACCAACCCTCCAACTGGTCCGGCAAGACCTTCGACGGTGACTGCGTTATTGGCCGTGGGTTTTTTAAGTCCTTATCGTTGGCGTGTATTTTATCGTCGTCTTGCTCCGATGGGTCGGGCGCCATGTACTCGGACGGAAGCTTATCGTCTTCCGTTTCCATGATGGGCCTATCTTGGATATCTACTGCTGATACTGAGGATTTGAGCTTGCTACCCGCGTTGTTGCTGCTCCTCCGTAGAGTAGCTCTGGTTATGTACGGAAAATGGCCTTGGGATTTCCACAGGGCCCGCTGTGATACAAATTGACCTTTGTCGGTACTTGGGCGGTGGTTGCCATTGCTTGCTACATAGTTGCCATTAGTTGCCGGCAATATCGGGGGCGTCTGTTTTTCATCTGCTCCGTAAGTTGAAAGCCTGTTGATGTAGACACTGTGATAAGACGAGGGATTATATGGCATTATCCCATTCTGTGACAGTGTCCCGTTTTGGTTTGTGAGCAAAGAGAGTAGGCGTGAAAGATCAACAGGAGGGGGGTCCTCACGATGGCCAGTATTATCGTCATTACTCTTGTCTAAATATGAAGATACCACCCAAGCGGTTATTTTGTTCCCAATATTTCGAGTCCACCGCTTTGCGAAGCGAACACTCGTCTCCCAGGCCTCGGGGGATACTTTGAAAGCCGGGGATGAAGCATCCTACTGCTTCTTGATGGCACTAATATCCCGGCCAAGAACATGCCGCTGGAACAAGGCAATGGGGAACCGGAGGAGCAAGACGCCTATAGCACAGATAAGTGTCGCATAAAGCTGCCAGGCGATCCAGAGAAGTGATGCTCCCCAGGGCGCAATGAACTTCAGGAAATCCTCTACTTGATAGTGGTCCTGCTGGCCTTTAATGAAGTATCGCATGGGCGGGTCCGGAGTCAGAGCTAGATCAGCATCGACGGGAATCGGCGTCTCGTCGAGTAACGGTTTATGGTGTTTATCGATGCTAAGCCGCTGCAGCTCTAGCACCGTGACCAGCTTCACATTGGCCTGCCATAGCGAGTACGGCACAAACCATAGCGTAAAGGTCTGGCGGAGCGTGACGTACAAGAGATTCTTATTCTTGTCGAAGCCTTGGTAAATTAGTAACGGATTATATAAAACTAACTTCATTATCCACGGCTGAATGGGTGCAAACTCACTGGTTGAATCGATAGAAAGCTGTATGTCCGGGCTTAAGATTCTATACCATTGGTAAATGAAAAAGACGAACTGGCGAGAGTTTATAGTCAGGTTCGTAATTGGGATCTTGTAGTCGCGGAAGGATGGCACGCGGCAGAAGGGATGTACGAAGTAGGCATCGGGCAGGAAATAGTCTTCTAAGATGGACAACTGGTCGCCACGCGAATATTGCGTTAAGCCGCGGATGATGTGTTGAATCTGCTGTTCGGGATAGTCCATTTTGAGATGCTATTTATTATTAATTAGTTGATTGAGTGATTCTGTTTATTGAAGCTGTTGGGATGCTAGTTGCATATGTATGTATATCTGGATTTCTGAATTGAAAGTTTGTACGGGATATGGAGAGTTGAGGTTCAAGGATGTAAATAAATATAGGTACCTATTATATGCAAGGTAAGTCCGTTCTCGTATGTAGAGCTTTGTTTTAGGTAGTGATGATGATGATGTCATTGTGGTTGCGGCGCGGGTCCTTCTTGACATGTGAAGCTAAGGTACCTTAACATCATCCAGGAAATCTCGACGATCGGTAAGTCCCTTACAAATTGAAGCTACCTGCCTGCCTCATATGTATCTACCTAGGTACCTAGGTATTTATAATATAAATATGATACATTTGCAACAAGCACTTGCAAAGTCAATTAAAGTCCTCTTATAATTTCGAAAGTAACGTGAAAGCTATAATCCAATACGATGTAAATACCTCAGTAAACTCACTAGGTTACATAATATCAATATTTGAGCAAATGTAAGAAGCAGCTTTACTAAATTTCGTATGCATAAAAACTACTATTCTCACACAAAATACTTGACTAGCGCTTCCTAAGTCTTATCCTTATAAGAGAAGCTTGACTGGACTAACTCTGAAGTTAAATCCAGTGTTATTTAGTATTGGCCTATGGATGACTAATAGGCTCCACTACCACCGGGGGGGGGGGGGGGGGGGGGGGGCCGCGGGGGGGGGGGGGGGGGGGAGAAGGAATGAGGGAAAGTCGAACCGCCCGAGGGACACACCAACCAGCCGACGCACCGAGATTT